GCCTAAGATGGTTATGAGCTTTGCATTCCAATAGACTGAAGTTTATCGGTTGAACAGCTGAGCCAAGGATGAAGACAATGCACGCTTGAAATCTCTGTGAGTGCTCCTCGCTGAGATAGCACAGCAAGGGTCTGAAATGGCCATATCCGGTTATTGACCGGAGTTTTCCATCTATCTACAGAGCAAGTTCTGGGTTTCCGGCTGCCGTGCAGGCCTGCCCGCAGTGCCCTGCCAGCGTGCTTACACCCTGACATGGAGGGACCAGCTGAGGGTGAGGAAGTGCTTTGCTCTCCATGTCCATCCCATGCTTGTTGGTTAGCGGAGACTGACCATGGGTTCGGAGGATAGTCCAGGGGGTTGGAGATCTGCAGAGGAATCCCTCCCTCCGCGCTCGGAGGCAAACCGGTGTTGCTTCGCACCTCACCCGCCCAACACTCTGGGCCTCAATCCCTTACATCCTAAGACTGGAAAGAGAAGCCAGTATGTGCTTCCGGGCCCAAACCCAGGCCGACTGACAACTCACCCATCCAGCGTTCTAGTCAAGTACAAGGCATAGGAAGACATGCCGTAGACCATTCCTCATCTACTACTTCGCTGGTCAGAGTAAATATTTCCGGTAAATCAATACATGACTATTTTAATGCCTTGACTGAAGACCCTCAACTCAAAAATGACTTCTGAAAGTTGGGTTATTCCCCCAGGCAAATCTGAGAGAAGGCATTTGTAGCTGCTTGTGTCATTTTTTTAGAGATCCCCAAAGGGAAGTGTGGTTTGCTAGATTTGACAGTTCTTTGGAATTGGTTCTTAGGCAAATTTAGCTGCCACTTTCTGACCTCTGCCGAGAAGATAAGATGATAGATAGGAGAACATTTTAAATATTTAAACAGGCCACGGACTCCATAGAATGTATTGTATACTAATTTTTATTGATTTGTATTAATGCTGAATACTACTTAGCAAAGAAGTGTTAGAAGGATTCCCAACCCCTACTGCCTCTACTGCTAAAAGGCCAGTTATTTATAAGTCCTGCTATTTTTCCTCATTTTCATACTGAGATCTGGAACAAAGAGAGCTGTTCACAGCTTGGTCCAATGCCTGCCACGTGATGAATGCTGTATAAATGTAAACTTTTCCTTTTCTTACAGGCCAAGGGGTTGTTTCCCCTAAGTATGTTTCTCAAGCTGCTGGCCATGTGTACTCACACTATATTCCCTTCCATGGCTGGGATACACTGGGATGTACAGGGGGCTACAAATGCAAGTCATTCTCTCTCATTAGGTGACCCTCTCTGTCTATATTCCTGGCTGTGACCTCAGGCACCCTGAGGGAGCTCATGATCTGTGCCTACCTTGAGACAACTTGTCTACCTCTATCTCTAGAGGGTAGCTCCAGCCACCTCCTCCAGTTTCTGTCCTATTTGAGGCCCTAGATATAATCACTTTGGTGCTTGACTTAGGATACCGAGGCAGAAACACAAAGTCAAGGTGGCCTCTGCTGCTGTCTCCCACGCCTCAGTATGTTCTGATCCTCAACCAGACTACGTTTGCTTGTTGCACCGTGTTTGTGGCAGACAGAGGAGGTGCAGAAGTGGCTGGGCTGTGCACACCTGCCCTCTTTCCCCCTGCCTGGGCCCCAGACACCCTAAGGTCAAGACCACCATAGTCACCCCCATCCCATCCAGTGCTGCAGTTGGGTTGCCGTCTGTGTTTTCCCCTGCTTCACCTCCTAGCAGACCCGTAGCCTTCTGTCACATCTGTAATTTGAGAAAGGGAAGGAAGGTTTGGTTTTTAGAGTTTCTCAGACATTTTCATGCATTGGAATCACCTCTAGCTCATCTTGAAACAGTCCACGGGCCCCAGCCCAGAGTTCCCCTTTCAGTACGCAGAGCTGGCTTCCTGGGCTGCAACCCCACACTCAGAAGAGACCCATATTTCATTTCAGTATCTCCTTTTGCAATATTGAAAGTCCTTGTTTCTTAGCATGGCGCGCGGCATTCTCATTTTGTACTGGGCTTTGCAAAGGAGGTAGCCAGTCCTGCCAGTAAGTCCAGAATGAAACTCTGGAATTCATATTTCCAGCAAGTTCTCCACTGATGCTACCATGGGGGATACATTTTCTCATTTCACAACCATTAAATGAGATTTTGCAGAATCGACTCAAAGAAAAAGGAAAGGGACAATAGCCTTCTGTCTTCTGCTCCCTCCCTCTCCCCGATGGGATCCAATAAGAATGAAGGCAATGGAGGAGAACTTGGTGAAGCAACTGCCCTTACCGTTGTGATTGTTGTTATTGTCCTTGCTTTGTCTCCACCAAACTAAACGCTCCCATGCGGCACATGGCTCTTCGCGCCCCTCCCCCACAGTTAATGTAAGTGTGATTTCTCTGTCTGCACATGAGTCCAGAATCACTTTTCTGAAGGAAATTTAAAGCCACGAAGTGGAACAACATCATAGTAAGTAATCTGAGGAGTTGGGAGAAGGAAAACGGTAGAAAGAATGATGAAGTAAGTTTCAGCGCAAACCACGCCAAGGCCAAGCTGCTGTACACCAACTCAAAGGGAGCTCCATTTCCTCTGAGCCTCAGCGCAGTCACTGCAGACAGAAATACATTATTTATTACATGACTCAGGGTTCCATAGGGCAAAAATAACATGCTCCCTCCGTGGAATCCCAGATGGCCCTAGTATTTTGACTGAGAAATTTTTTTCCAAGGAGCGTCTTTCTTTATGCATACAACACCTGATGGAACCTGCAATTTATAATATTTTATTAATTGTATTCTCTTCTGTGTGTTATTTTTTGAGACAGGGGCTCACTGTATAGTTCAGGCTGGCCTTGAACTCACACTGATCCTCCTGTCTCAGCCTCCCGAGTCCTGGGGTTGCAGGCGCATGCCACTCTTCTGTATGTTTGAGAAGACAGATGAGACGGAATTAATGTGGTCTCTGGCAGCTAAAACATGACCTTCCCCAAACTTTCCACCCAATAGGAGAAGGCAAAACCAAATCATTCATAGTCCTGATGGTTGTTCTCTTTGGGTTTATGAATAGACTTGACTCTTTAAAAACATCCCATAAAATAAGGCTTTATGTACTTACTGTTGTTTATATAAAACCATGACTTATTCTTACTGAGTAGACATAAGACATTTTCATTAATGACTGGGGAAATATCACCTGAGCAGGGTAAACAATGAAATTAGCCCACTAATATAATTTGTAGCCCTGGGGCCCGGGAATATTCCTTTCACCAAAAAAAAAAAAAAGAAAATTGTAATCCTGAACACAGAACCCTGATTCTGAGCTGAGCTCTGTTAGTTCACATTTTTCTGAGTTTTGTAAACTTTCCTCAGCCCAAGTCATGCTCCATGAAAACAGACGAGTATCCATTTTGTTTTCTGTTCCCTCAGCTAGAAATAGGGAGATTTTTGCCTTTTAATTAGATATGGTGGTTAAATATCCCACCACCAGTTTCCAGCAGAAATAGTTAGGTTCCTTTGATTTTTTCTTCAAAGTTATTGGTGTCCTAAAGGTCTGGAAAATCATCCACACGGTTATCCCCTGGCTCCTGCCCATAAGATTGTCTGATATCGGCTCAAAGGAGAGACAAGGAAAGGACTGACTTTTTCCATGTGGGTCAGAAATGTCCTGGGCAAAAGTACTGGCGCCCTGGCTGCCTCGGTGACAGGCACGGCCTATCATACACGCTGGACTCTTTTTCCCATGGGTACTAACCCTTGCCGGAAGCCCAAGACAAAGCTAGGTCCCTATGAGTATGATGTAGCCTCCATTTTGCATGCACAAAACCGTTTGGCTGGGAAAGGATTGCACAGGACTGTTTATCTTCTTAAAGCCACAGAGCTTTTTGTTTTGAAATATTTGATCCAAAGAAAGCAAGGAGTGGTAAATAAAAGTGAAGTCTGGGAGACGAAGGAGCAGGTTGTGGGATTTCTAACCAACCTCTGGTCGTTTCCCTTTAAGATGTTGTCAGGGCCACTGTTTTGAGGAAGGTAGAAAATAAAGATGTTTCCAGGTAAGACTTCGCCCCTTGTTTTCCTGTTGCACTTACATTTTCACTGTTATTTCTGTTGCTGTGACAACTCCCTCACTTGTGTATATGCTAATAGTATGCTAAGGAGCACACCTTGTGTCAATTTGTGGGATCATCATTGCCTCGCAGAAACATTTTCAGTGTATGTAAATACAGTAGATTCGGAAGGGTGGTCGTATATGTGTCTGTTAGGCCACATGAAACCTTCCCACCGAAGCATCACCATCGTCATCATCATTATCACGGGAAAGAGGACTTTATTCACGCTAAGTATTTAGAAGAAGAAGAAAAGCTATCCATAAAGGCATAATAAACTCGCAGTAAAGTGCCAACCAGAGTTTTATCTGAACTATTTTGAACTGAGTACTGAAGGTGAAAGAGTTAGCTACCAGTTTTTCTTACTCAATAGATAGGACCAGCAGGCTTTCATTTTTAAATGGAATCAGGACTCGATCCAGGAGGCACTTCAGTGAGGCACGTTGGCGACCACGGGGATCCGTCTCTGTTCCATTTTCCGTCCTTCCTTCCGCCGACACTTCCTGTTACATCTGTCGTTTCGCGGCCCTCTGCTGGCTGCACATTGGCGAAAACCAGGATCCTTTTCATCGCTGTCCTGCGCCCTGCCTGCCATTTTAATTTCATTTGTTAGGTTGCACTGCCATCTGCTGGCCACATTGTTATGGCATCCATGCACTGTTTCCTCTTGCCCCCTCCTCGGAGGTGCCGTTTCTTGTTACATTTGTTGTGTTTTGCTGCCATCTAGTGGCCATTATGTGGAAACGCGTTCCCCTACTTAATGCAGAGATGTTGAAACATTGCTCAAAAGTTCTTTTTGTTCCAGCCCGTGTCCATGCATTTTCCTCCTGTCATTTGTGTAATGGTCATATTATTTGAATCTGATCATTCATGGTTTTACGCGCTCACACTCCTGCCATTGTCTCGTTGTACCAGAAGCCCTGACATGCTACAGTCGGACGTTTCCTTTTCCATGGGAGGGAGGCATTCATCCACAGACTCCAACAAGGCCTCCAGTGGAGACATCTCCCCTTATGACAACAACTCCCCTGTGTTACCGGAGCGCTCCCTGCTGGCTATGCAAGAGGACAGGGCCCCGGGGGGCTCGGAAAAGCTTTACAAGGTGCCAGAGCAGTATATGCTGGTGGGCCACTTGCCGTCGTCAAAGTCTAAATCAAGAGAAAGTTCTCCAGGACCAAGGCTTGGAAAAGGTAACGGAAGCCTGGCTGGCCCTGGCCACACCAAATGACCCCTTTGCTGTACGAGGAGCAGCGTCAGCGCTTTGGGGCTCCTCTGCATTTGTCCCTTATTCGATGTTTCGTAATTCCGTGAGCATTAGCTGAGCACCTGCTGAACACCTCCTCTAGGAACAGGAAGGGGTGGAGGCCGAGGTGATGTCTTGGAGGGTCCCTGGTGCCCCCATTCCGATTCTCGGCCATCTAGGAAGTGAGCACGTGCCCGGGGGACCTTTCTCTAAGCCACGGTGGGGATCCCAGCACAGGGGTGTAGGGAGGAGGAAAGTAGACAGTGGAAACACCCAGCGGGGCGCCTTCCTCCGTAGCTCTTTACGCACAGACTGAGGGGAGACTGATGAAGGGGCAGAGGCAGAACTCATCTGTGCGTGCCTCGAGCAGAGTGTTCCTGAGCAAAGTTGAAAAGCTGTTGCTGGGCCGGGGACCTAGCTCAGCAGCACAGCGCCTGCCTGGCAAGCACAAGGTCATGAGATTGATTCCCAATACAAAAAAAACTAAAAAACAAACAAACAAAAAAAACCTATTGCTGCTGTTCCTCTGTCTCCATGTTAATGTGATTGGAGAGTGTAAGGCTATTGTCACCTTATATGAGTTTCCTCCTACTGATGTCATAAACCAGCAAAGACTAGTGGTTAAAACATACAAGTCTTCTCTCTTACAGTTCTGGAGGTCAGAAGTCTCCAATGGGTCTTCAAGGCTGTCTTCCCTTGTGGAAGCTCTAGGGAGCAACCTGCTTCCTTGCCTTTTCCAGCTTCTAGATGTTTCTGTATTCCTTATCGTTTTGCTCCTTCCTTCCTCTTTCAAGGCTCCAACAGTGCAGCTTCTTTCCTCCTCCTGTCTCCTACATGTACCCTTACATCAGGCTCAGCCAGGGTTCTGCAGCAAGATCAGCCTGTGCTAAGAACAAGAATTCAATTGCACCTTAAAAATCCTTCTGGAGCCGGGTGTGGTGGTGCACACCTGTAATCCCAGCACTTGGGAGGCTGAGGCAGGAGGATTGTTGCGAGTTCAAGACCAGCCTGGGCTACAAAATGAGCTCACGGCCAGCCTGCACTGCATAGAGAGACCCTGCCTCAAAAAGACAAAAAAATAATAAAAAATCCTTCTTGACTTTGAGATAACAATTTTATAGGTTTTGGAGATTATGATACAAACATATTTGGGGATCCTTATGCCTATCTACCCCAACCATGATTCAGAAAGAGCTTTTTGGTCAATTCTGAGTGGAATAAGTTTACTGAAAAAGCAGGTTTGAAGTGTGCTTTGTAATGCAATGTCAAAAGCATTTGCACAGAAGAGATATTATTAAACTATTTTAGGTTATTTTCCCTTAAAATCTCATTTTGTGTTATATATATTTTTTTATGCTCTCTTTCCTAGATATGTCGGAGGAACCTTTCAATATCTGGGGAACTTGGCATTCAACATTAAAAAGTGGATCCAAGGACCCAGCAATGACAGGTGGAGTGTTACTTGAAATGTTCAATGCATTTGTTTTGAAAATTAATTTTCTGTAGCTTTTACGTTGTTAGGATCACCTTAACATGCTTGTCAGGTTATTATTTGGAAAATGCTGCAGGTGGGGGCGGGCAGGATAAACCACCCTTTGGTTTTCTACAGCAGTATGCTAGTGGTGGACTCTATTTCGTTCTGTTTTCTTTCCTGAAAAGTAAAGTGGTGACAGCGCTGCTTTATTCAGTGTGGCAGCTCAGCGGACCTGTCAGAGTCGAGGCAGACGCGTTTGGAGCAGCCACGCAAACTGGCAGTAATTAAAAAGCATCTGTCATTTCTTTGCTAGGGAGTGGGGTGTGTGGGGGGGGTAAGGAGCAGCCGCTAAGTGTGTACTGTTGTAGAAATCCTCAGTGGGAAGAAAGCAGAGGAGACCCTAACCCTCAAGGGCAAACTAACCCCAGTTGTTGCCTTTCTGGCTCTCAGGTTCCTATGGCGACATTTCTGAAAGCAGCTCCCTGCGACCGGGGCCCTGCTCCCTTTCTCAGGGGAACCTGTCCCTGAACTGGCCGCGGTGGCAGGGGAGCCCGGCAGAGCTGGACAGAGGCACTCAGGTGATGCGCAGGACTCAGACGGCGGCCACAGTGGCACAGTGCGGCGCGCACCTTCGCGTGTCGCGGGTCTGCAGCACTCCCCACCTCCAGGCGGGCGGCGGCGGCGCAGGCGGGCGGCCGGCGGCCAGGTCCGAGCCGTACTTGCGCCTGAGCAGCGCCGAGGACCTCGCCGAGGGCGAGCGGGACGAGGCGAGGCTGCCTGGCCGGGCGCAGCCCGCGTCCCAGAGACCTCGGGAGGGCGGCAGGGATGATCGCAGGCCCCCGCCCCCTTACCCAGGCCCGGGGAAGCCCCCGGAGCCGCCGCTGTGGCGGCTGCAGCGGCCGGAGGAGGGCTCGGGCACGGCTTCGGACGAGGGGGCCCCGCCGGCCGAGCGGGAGCCCCAGGCCGCGCCGAGAAAACGCAGCAGCGGCGCCTACGCCCTCCCGGGCGGGGAGCAGAGCGGCCCGAACTTGGGGGAAGCCAGCTGGCTCGACTGGCAGCGAGAGCGGTGGCAGATCTGGGAGCTGCTCTCCACCGAAAACCCCGACGCCCTCCCGGAGACCCTGGTGTGAGCCCACCCACTGCAGCCAGCAGGAGCCGCTCCCTCCTCGACGCCCCTCCCCGGCCAGCCGGGCCCGCGCGCCGCTGGCCCACTGGACACTGCCTCCCCGGTCTTCATTCACGCAAGAGAAACTGCGTCCACTTCCCGAGGTAGCGCTCTTACCCTCGCCATTTATGATAGGGTTCCACTGCGTAGCCAGCCTTAGGACAAATCCCAAACAGATGACAATACCCCGCCGGAAAACAGCCCGCGTTGGCTCTGTGTAAGACTAAACTCTTGCTTTCGTATGGCTTAATTGTATTTATGTGTCTTCAGTTTTGACTATTGTATATTCTGTAACAGATTATGTATGATAAGCGAAATGATATATTCACAGAGAAAAGAGGAACAATTTTTTTTTAAAAATCACTTCACTTATATTATGCCATGAGCTATATTAAGCAGCGAGATTCTATAGAGTGTTCTAGAATATGCACAAGCTGGTTTGTGTGCTTTTGCCATAGCTTTATACCCGGGGACAGCCCTCCTTCAATGCCTGAGAAAAACACTAACGAAACGAGAGTCAGAGAAGCCATATTTTTTTATAGTAGCGAGATACAGAAGTTATAATCACTGAATGTTTTTTCATATGAGTAAGTTTTAAGGAAAATGTCGACTTTGATACATATGAAATATATTTTTAGAACATGTTTAGAAAGGATTCAGTTAATCAAAAGACAAAGGCCGTGCGTAACAAAGAATAATTTGTTGGTCCCGTTTTAGGTCAAATTCAATTTTATAGAGACCATATATAATATATATATTTATAGAGTATATCTTTTATGTATTTTTCAAAACCACAAACTGGAATCCAACTATAAAGTGTTTAAGAATCTGAACAGACCATTCAAATCATAGAACATGATTTTTTCTTTTGCCCTGTAATCAATATTAATGAAATCACGTACAATTCTTTTTTGTGAAGTAAATCACATTGAGGGAGAGAAAAACCGCAGTTTTGTCCTTACATTGTGCCAAAGACTGAGGAAACGTTTTCTTCGTAATTTTCTGTGTATTGTGAAAGTGTTCCTGCCATACATACTTCAGTAGTTTGAAGTTTTTCAGCTGCAAAACCACCTGTGACCAACAGGTGACAGCTTGCTTCAGTATTTCCAATTTTTTTGGTGTCACTTCGGAAGGGAAAGTGTATTATAGAAAAAGATACTTTTTTTTTTATAAGACGTGCTACTCTTAATTTTCATGTTGGTGATGAAATTTTCAGTGGTGTTTCTTAAAGTTCTATCTTGTGCCATGATGAATAAAAAGTTAAGCAAAAACTTTGTCACTGACTTTAAATCTAATGAATGAACTCGCAACCCCTGTCAGCCACTCCCTCCTGGACTGCACCGCCTGACACAGGGGACCCCTTTGCTGCATGGCTTTGCTGTCCTGGTCCTAGTTTTCTAAGAAGACAAACAAAGCAAAACAGAACAAAACAAAACAGCCTTTGAGATCAAATGCCATGAGGTTAATGTCCGTCAAAAAGCTAATGAAAGGTATGTCCAGCTGTTAGTAGTCAGGTATAAAATAGGTCATCCAGGAACAGTCCAGAATATTCTTGGTATGTATCTCAATATTCATTTTCACTTTCCCTTTGCACAGTTAAAGCCTGTGGCTGTATCTTTGGCTTAGTGAGCAAAAGCTTGCTTCTTGGATGCCTTTATCATACGGAAAATACGTGGTCTTTAGGGTGCACATGAGACCCAAAGACTGGAGTGGAAACTGAGGTCGTTGCTAGCAACGCACCCCACGTGATACAATACCTGACAAGAGCGAAAAATAAAACTGAAACTCTTTCAAGGTGGACAAAATCCCTTTTCCAGGCTCTTCAACTCATTCATTCCTTGCGAGTAAAAAAGAGATCCTACAAGCAAGAAAAAAGCTGCAGTGTGCCACAGATGTCTCTGTGCCTATGAATATGCAATCACTGTTTTTGTGTGTCTGGCGAAGGGGCCAGAGCCGTGATGGCAGAAATGGCCCAATACACATTTGTTTTGATTCCTCTCAGTAGCTATTGACATAGGTTTGTGTGGGTTTTTAAAGAAAAAAAGTCTCTTAGACCAATGGAGTGTGCGCAAATTGAGGACATTTCTAAATAAACCCAGCTTGCTCCTTTTCTTATGCAGAGAAACAGCACTGAGATGAACTATAAAGAGATGTCAGAACAAAGGCCGGGCCTGCGGTGTATATGTCAGTCTGATAAGCAAACTGCGGGAGGCAGATTCTACTGAACTGAGAAGAAAGGAAATGACTGAAGTAGAGTCATACAGAGATTAAAACAGGATGTCTTGGCCAGGCAGAATTTTAAAACAAGTCTAAGCAGAAAATCATCTTCCAGGGGAAAAAGAAATACAAGCCAAAGGGAAGTTCTAACAGAGGTTGGAATTCTCGGGTACAGTCAAGGTGACAGATGGCAACCTGGAGATACTGAAGCGCAGACTCTGGTCTCTGGGGTGCAGCTCCCTGGCCTGGGGTGGCCCTCAGTTCACGAGTCAGAAGATTTTCTGAATTCAATACAACTAACATCTGGTCAGCCGAGGGCAGTGGTGGCAAACCTACGGCATGTGTGCTGCAAGGGTTGTTTGCTATCTTTGAAAGCTCTAAAAGGTTCACCATCACTGGTCTAGGATGATCAACTCGTCCCACTCTGCCTGGAAACATCCCAGGGTAGGCCATCAAAGCTACATGTCCTGGGCACAGTCCCTGCTATTACCTGGCAGGGTGAGAACAGGCGGGCTGAAAATACGGGCTCTTGACCTTGGCACCTCTAAAGTAGGCTCCCCAAATAAGATATGGGGCCCCCAGTTCAATTTGAATGCCAGACCAACAGTGGATCACGTGCTGAGACATATTCATAATTTAAAAGTGATGTATTGCTCAATCTATTGCATGGGACATATTTATTTTAAGAAAAGATTCTGAACATCTATTTGCTAAATCTGGCAACCCTAATCTCTAGCCTCCATAGCCTATCTGTTCCTAAATGACCCGTATGACACACTCATTGTCCCATGGTACCTCAACAGTCCTGCCGGACCAACTGTGTGCCTTGACTCTTCCACAGAAACTGTCCCCACCGGCCACCACTCACTTCCGGTCCAGGTGTCTCGCCCGGTTCTCCCCTCGCCCAGCACCCAAGACTTCTTGTCCCTCTGGAGCTCATGTCTTCTCTTTGTTCCACCCCCTTGTCTTATTCTGGCACTTGTCCCCTCCGTCTTGGAGCAGCGTGGCAGCCCGACATCTCTGCGCTCACCTCTCTCCTCCACGCCACCAGGCTCAGGGCTCTGAAGGGCACATCCTGTCAGAGGCAGTCACTGTTGGAAAACCAGCGAGGCCCTCCTGTCCCTCTGGTCTGCAGGGCCAAGTCCACACTCCACGGTGCCGGAACACACTCCACAATCCGGTCTCACTCCTCTCTCCCGACATGGCACCCCGCACTCTGGCCATGTGCGGAAAATTTCCCTCACAAGTACAAAACTCGATTTTGCATTTCCATTTTATGGGCTTCAAATGCTCTTTCTGCTTTTCCTGCTCAACTGGATGCCATTTTCCTGCAGAATTAGTCCCAATTCTTCCTTTCCTACAAACAATGATTCACAGCCTCTTCTACTCCTTTGCACACGAGCGTGGCCAAGTTCACCAGCATTTCTTTACGCTATCAGGACTGTTTTCCGTTTCAATCTGACGGTTGTTTCCACTCTGTTCCTGAGAGTGGGGCCTAGGTCTTTTTTTGTGCCCCTGGACCAGGCGAGACCTGACACCTTTGACACTTAATAAAAATGTGCTACATAAGCGTGGAAATATGATCAAGCCACTTACCATGAAGTGAGTGGAGAAAGAAGGACAAGACTATCAGCCTGGTGGCCAATGGAGAAATAGGGGTGTGCTTCCAAAATTAAAAAAAAAAAAGCTGGCAAAGAAAGGAGATAGTGTGAGGAGGAGCTGGTGGCAAGCAGGGTTACTGTCTCTCAGCCAGTGCTCCCCTACGAAGACAGGGCACCCCTGCTCTGTGCTATGCGGGGTGGACAAGGGGAACGGCTGTGGTGCATTACCTTTCCATTCTAAAGATGAGCGCTTCAACAGTAACAGCGGTAAGGGAAGCGTCTCCGAGCCCTCCGGTTAGCGCCCAGTAAATACACTATTTAATGACTGAAACAAAAACAATGAGGTTTTAAGGTGTGCGGCTCAAAGTCAGAACGAGCAGGAGCTGGGTCCTCCTCCCTCCGCTGAGTTGCTGGGTGACCTCTGGCAAGGTACTTCGACTCACTGTCTGTTCTCGCAGGATGGCCATGGCATGGTAACACTGAATTCCTAGGGGCAGCTGCGAAAATACCTGGGGCACAGCCACCCCCTAACACATATTCAATAGACAGCGGTGTCATTAGTGTCCCACGTGAGACCATTTTAGAAACCAAATTTGGGAACCTCTGCCGTGAAATGCGGGCACTACTAGCTACCATCTATGAATGACTTTGGATCCGAGTCTGTTTTTCCCACATGAACTCAGGTAAGCCCTCATTTTCTAGAGGACACCATAGATTCAGGGAGATCAAGTGGGGTGCCTAAGGCTACACAGCTGGAAAAGAGCAGAACCGGGATCTGGTCCCAAGCTATTCAGCTGTGCCACCTGCCGTCTGGAAAATGCTGCCCGTGAACCAAGTTGTGTATCGAAGGCCTTGTTCTCTCTCAAAAGGCAGGGTCAGCTGGGGAAGGGGCAGGGGAAGGGCTTCTGCCTCTGGGATGATCTGCGGCTTCAGGGCCACTGGTGCCCTCACAGAGGTAGGAAAGATGGAAGCTAACGTCAATAAAGAGAAGTTGAATTGAGTTCTAATTAATAATAATATTCATTTACATATTTATTAATACTAATACAATTATAGTCTAGCATTGTCTCCAGGTTTTTTGTGTTTCAAATAGCTATAAAAGCCATGGGATGACTTCACTGAATCAAGTGATTGGTTGACGGCTTCATCCAATAATCTGTCCGATCAATATTTACCAGCGCCCCACTGCCTGCCAGCAAGCCCATTGCTGGGTGAGCCCCAGAGTTAGAAAGAGGCAAGAC